CGCTACACCTATTTTCTAGGTTTGGCCTTCCGAACCCCTTTTTCGTCTGTTTTTCTTTCCGATCGTTTCCAAAACCCTAGAATTGATGTCTTTCAATTCTTTTCCATTTCTTAAACTTATCATTCATGTGTTCATGCACTTGTGGGCTTAACACAACATTCTGTACTTCTTTCTTAAATACAGTCTGAAAATCGGTAATTGCATCGTAGTTCAGAAATTTCTGAACTTTAGCTTATAACTTGCTATTCCATAATTATATCAACAAATACTTATCATAAAAGTATTTATATTAATGATACAAAAGATTCTATGAAATATTATCACATACAATAATTCAGATAAATTTCTTGGTCATGACATGTTTGCTCCATTTGAATTGCTGAAAGTTCCAACTCTTTTAATATCGATATCGCACTCATTGTCAAGCAACTAAGTCTCTTAGTCCCGTCCACAAATCACATCTATGTTTGGCATTTTTGTGTGTTGTTGATACTTAAAAGACTTTGAGACGATCTCTCTTGCTCGGAAGTTGTGTACTTAAAGAATTTGAAACAAGAAAACTTTGAATAAGTTAAAGTAGACCTTTCTTGTTTATTATTTTCTTTTTTGTGGAAGTAGTCCATAAGTTTTCTTTAAGACGATCTCTACTGCTCGGAAGTTGCGTACTTCGTGTAATCAAGAACCGTATCAAAGTTTTTTAAAGTGCATTAAAAAAGATAAAAAGATTATTTTTTTCAATACAATACAATAGGGTAGAGGATAAAATGCGTGTATCGCTTAGATTAAGCAATACAAGTTCATACTTTGTTTCTTACGTTGAGGTGAACTAAAAAACAATTCCATTTCATACAACAGCAACATATATACACAAACTAATTAGAGCGGTAAGGAGATGTTCTCTTTAAAAACAGACAAAAAGTGTTGGAGATCGAAAATGAATTGTGGAGCACAATATTAAAAAAAGAAAAAGAAAATGAAAGACAACTGAATCGAAGTAGAGGATGACTTAGTTACAACCAATTGAATGGCCGGATGACTTAGTTAATTGGACCTTTTTTTTTTGTTGTTGCTGAAATTGTAAATAACGTGGTTGAGATCAAGTTAATTTGATGCGAAGCTCTAGCTGATAAATTAGACGTGTTCTTGTTACTTGGAAGATGCTATTGATATTACAGTGGCCACACAAGGCAGATAAGAACAGTAAATTAAAGTCAAGTGATGCAGCAGAATGGATAAAATCAAGGCAAATCCGTGGCTAAGAGAAAAATCCTCAAAATTGGAGTGAAAATACGTAGTTATTTATAACTCACACCCATATGCTAACAAACTAACCGCTTAATTCTACGGCATACTAGACAAATAATAATATACTAATTACAAAGTCAACGCTAAGTTGATAAACTAAAACAAACGATAATGTAGATGTAAAAACGTCTACTATAACTAAATTCTCCTGAATAGACTTATGTCTACCTTTGGAAATTTTCTTACAGGATTACACAAACTCACACTCGAGAGTTGAGGAGTGACATTTGCAATATAAGTACTAACTCTAATTTGCACCATCATTTAAAACAAAGTCCAGGACAAACAAGAAACCTGAATAATTCCCAGCACAAAGAGGGGAGGAAAATCTTAATAAATAGCCAATGAAGACATTAAATTATGTACAAATTGAACGGACACAACCCAAAAAAAAAACAAAAAAACAAAAAAAAAAAAACTATTTTATCATCAAAATTCAAACATTTTCAGGTGTTGCCCGCTCAGGGGATTTCCTGCAAATTGGGCACGAAGCGTTTAATCTGAGCCATTCATCAATGCAATCAGAATGGAAGCAATGTTGGCATTCCGGTATGGTCTTAAGAATCTCCTTGGGCCGGTACTCGGACAAGCATATTGGGCACGTTTTGTCATCGGGCTTGGGCAGCCGTCGACTTTCACCAAGCACTATCTTTGGGTACGACTCAAGTGTCGGCCCATCAAGGCCCATAACAATTGTGGGCTGCGGGGCCACCGTGGAGTTGAACTCCGCAATAGGCCCATTTCTTAAAGCAAAGGTCTTGACCCTCCCACAGATGAAACATAGTAGCCCCACAAAGCACAAGATCACCGGCACACCAACTCCTACGGCTACTGCATACCGGGCAGTCCTAGGAATTCCTAGTAAATAGTAAAATATAGATTATTAATATGACATAAAAATAAAAAATAAAAAATAAAAACTTTGTAATTGTATAAAAAAGTCAACGCTCATTATTTTCTCCGAACCACAAACCACAAATATATGGTCCAAATTAACCAGCCTTACGCACTAATATTCAAGACCCAATCAAACCTTTTAATGTCTAAACTTATCACTAAGTTAAAGACTCTATTCATATATAATTATATATGTAATAAGCATGTCCTTAAATTCAAAAGAGATGACGTTATTTATAATAAAAAGAAAGACCTTAAGCATGCATGTTTTGTGACTGCCGTGTTGAGTCATTGAGTGCGTGCTGTTGTTCAAATTCTAGTGTGGCGTATGTGAAAGTGTAAAAAGTCAAACTCGGACTTTGATTCAATACCCCATCCACCCGTTATTAAAAATAAATAAAATAAATAAATAATAATAAAAAAGATAGTCAACCAAACGAAAGCCATGATTGCCGTACGGAAAGTGTTGAGCGCACCTCAGGTGAAGCTGCAATTTTCAAATGTTATTAGTCGTCTATTAATTTTTCTTTTTTAAGGGGGGAAAAAAAAAAGGTATTATTAGTTCTACTTTGCTTAGTAAGAGAAGAAATGGTCTACGCTTATCTTTAAGGCTGCTAATCAGTACTTGTTTTTATATGAACCACAATTACCTGCTGATCACCTGGCACTAAAATTATAATGGAAGTTGGAAATTGCCTAAAAAGTCGTTGCAATCAGTTGCATTAACTATTTATAATCAAATCCAACCACACATTATTTCTCCGCATCTTTAGCACAAGTCATTATTAGCTGTTTATCATAACAGTTTATTAATGCAATAACAAAACCCTTGCATTCATGCCATCTAAAAGCCAAAAAGAAAATTACAAGTTAAGCTTGGAATATTGTAATATAATATTAATTTCATGTATTTGGCGATTAAAGTCGTTTAATCTTTAGGATACTATAATCCAACCACACATTATTTCTCCGCATCTTTAGCACAAGTCATTATTAGTTGTTTATCATAACAGTTTATTAATGCAATAACAAAACCTTTGCATTCATGCCATCTAAAAGCCAAAAAGAAAATTACAAGTTAAACTTGGAATATTGTAATATAATATTAATATCATGTATTTGGTGATTAAAGTCGTTTAATCTTTAGGATACTACAGATGTGCTATTGGAGAACGTCAATATCTTTGCAATTTGGACAGCCAATGGGATGTTTTTGGGGAGTCAGGAAGATAACATGTTTTGGCATCATTACAAATATGTTGTGTGTATACGTATACACACACATATACATATACCAAAAAGAAAGTTATCTCAGCCGACATCTACATTTTTAACACCTACCCATTTATCAGTTAATGACGAGTGGGTAGGGTTATAACTTATATGTTGTCCTTAACATGAAATTCTATTTGCGTATACACTATGAACAAAAGTTTCTTGGCTTTTTATAATGTGATATCTGTAAATGAGGGAGATTTTATTATTATTATTCTTTCTGTATCTTTCTTTCTGAAACTGCATGGATATTGTTTCTTGGCTTTTCATATTGTTTATTCTATTATCTCCACCTCACAAGATGAAATTTTTTTTTTTTCCCCTTTTTTCTGCTATCATAAGAGAGCCTTGTATCTTATTAATAAGAATTCAAGATTTATAATTACCTGATCTACTAATTTCAAGTTTACGTGTTGAACCTTATGACTAGAGGATATGTATATTTGTTTTGTTCTAAAGGTTAGAGGGAGGGATAATCTTCTTTTCAAACAGTTATCCAGTATATTTTATCATAACTACAGCTAGTGAAAACGACTATTTAGACTTGGAACTGTTTTCTCTTTTATAAAGAAATAAAGACGTGAAATTAGGATATTCCAAACTTAATATTAGAAGCTCATATAGTCACCACCAATCAAATAAAGTCCAGCAATGTTAAGAGGCATATTCACGAACGCCAACATCACTTAAAACATAAAAGTGAGCCCTGCACAGAAGGAGCAAGACTCAAAAACTCGTTTAGTTCGCTGATTCGAGTTTTTAATTTAAGTTGATATGTGACTTTATGTGAGAGGATTTTATTGTAACGAAAAAGTTAAATATGACTGTTTCAGAGAGTTTTTTACTATAGAAAAATTCGAATCAGTGAAATAAATGGAACCTCATTGTATGCATTCCGATGCTGGAGTTAGAAAAACTAGTTTTTATAAGGAGAAAATTGACCTATCATTATAGGCCTGCAATAGAACCCTTAAATCTAGCTCTGGTATAATGTCACGAAGCTTGATACGAAAAAAATCTGTTTATTTGACGAGTCAATTTTGAATTGATACTAAAATGACCATGTCTTATTTTTAACGACACTAATCCGTCAAAAAAAAGTGTCATATTTGTGTCGCATAGCTCTAAAATCTAGTCTTTATGAGGATAAAATAATAATAACTTGCCATTATAGACCTAAAAAACTCAAATCTAGCTCTAGTTAATGATATTAATGTTAAGAAAGAGCATAAAGGAAATAATAAATAAAAAAGAATAATAAATAAATAAAAGTTATAGTACCGGTTTCAGGAACATTTGAGCAGACAACTTCTTTAGTAGAATTGGCCTTAAACCCACAACGGCCACCTCGGGACTCGCATCTTCCGCACGCGGGAACATCCCATGCGAGACGTAGATGGTCACTGAGCTCCGACGACAACACTTCCTCGTAATTCGGCCAGTCAACCGGGACCGGAAAGGTCCCGATCAATTGACACCTCGGTGACAGAAACTCCGTCACCCTCAACGACGCCGTAGCAAACACCCAGAACGTGGGCCCACTGAGGCAGCCAATCGAGTTCAACGAACCGTAGCTCGAGAAATCCGAGGAGCAGTTAAAGAAAGCGAAATCCTGGTTGTAACCACCGTAGAAAGGCGAACCGGAGAGGTTGAGGGAGAGGATTCGCTTGGCAAGGCAGTTGTTTGGGTCGTTTATCCACATCTCTTGCGAGGCGTAGTCTATTCCTTGGACGGTGAATTGTCCGGAATAAGGGAGGTTGAGGAGTGTTTGGTTCTTCTTGCCGCAGGATACGTCAAAACCCGGATAGCCGCATAGCTTGGATTGGCGGTTACTTATCCGGAACGGGAATCGGATTTCCGGCTCGCGGATAGCGCAAACCGATTTCACGCATGGCTCTTGTTGTGAGCTTGACGAGAGGTACGAAGAGGAGAGCAGGATAAAGAAGAAGACGAGAACTTTGATGAGAATATTCATTTTTTGCTAAGTATATTGTTGTTTACAGTTGACACAGAGAAATATATATGCTCGAATACAGGTGTATATATTTCCTTAAAAAAAATAATATATATATATAGGTAAGGTCCTTAAACCGGTTTGTCGGACTGAAACGGAGGTGTATATATTTCCTTAAAAAAAATAATATATATATATAGGTAAGGTCTTTAAACCGGTTTATCGGACTGAAACGACAGTTGTATAATTCTGTATAAATCATGCATATTTACATATAAAGTCATGTATATTTACATGTAAAGATATATATGTTAAGCTGTAGTTGTATAATTCTGTATAAATCGTGTATATTTATATATAAAGTCGTATATATTTACATGTAAAAATGTATATGTTAAGTTATAAGAAACGATAATATATATTAATTCTCGAAACATATATTTTTTATAGCAATTAAGTGAACATATAGCATAAAAATATGTATATTGGTTGATTTGTTGTATTTTATATTAAATATACACGATTTTACATGTAAATATATATAATTATATAACTACCGATCCAGTCAGACACAATTATAACTGTCTGATCAAAGACAATTCATATGTGTATATATATACGTATGTGTGTAAGTGTGTGTGTAATGTCGGGATGTTTGACTTTATTATAAATGGTCGTAGTCTAAATTTCTAGACCATAAAAAATGGACCGCAAAATGAGAAGCATGTTGGTTGGTCCAGGTTAGACTGTATATGTGTAGGGTGAATAGAAAACAAGGAATTGAACAAGTCACGGTTAGTGATCTTGGAGGGAAGAAAATTCTTTTCAGAAACTCAAATAAATCGAGAAGTTAAATAAGCCGTATTGGACCAACCACATAACCGTAAAAATGTTATATCAGTACTTAAACTATGCTGTAATGAATCAACAATATTTTGACTGTGTTTTCGTGAAATTCTTTTTCTTGAATCTAGTCATAAGAAGAATGCTTAACTGTTAAATAACTCACTTCTTGGTCCTCGACCCCTCAGTCACTACGAACGCCCTTACTTTTTTTTTTTTTTTTTGGAAATCTTTTTCCTTTACAGAAATCCATTATAACTTGTTATAAAGATATATTGTATACACTTTTTTGGACGGGGAGGATAATTTATTTTACTTCTTTTGAAAAACTGCCCTGAAATTTGAAAAATTGGCCTGATCAAACAGGGATATTGCAACTTTAGCAAATATAATAATATAAATTGAATGGAGGAAGCAAGAATTTTTTAGAGAATTGTTAATTTGTTAGGCATGCATCAGCTAAGGAAGACTAGACCCGTTCAAAATATTTGGTAATAGAATCAATTCCTGTGAAGTCAAAAGTAATTCTTAAGTTGAACCCCAAAATTGATACAAAAGCTTTCAATTAGTCTCACTATCTGCCACGTATGTTAACTAATAAGAACCCCCAGCTTGTAGTGGCAGGCGTTCATTGTCTTAATTATGTGAGTTTTATAGTTAATTAGTATTTTCTACATTATTGATATGAAACCCCTGTTTGATGGTTGCGTTTTTTATTCTTTTATTGTCACAATATTTGAAATCTAAAGTTTGAAAACTGACTTTTATATATAACCAAATTGAAAATCTGACCAAGAACAATACGAATTTACACGCACTAATCTAATATTTAAAAAAAAAAAATCAGCTATTCTAGTAACATAAATTTCTTTCTTTCCTCTTTCAGAATACCATAAATTCTTATGTAACTGTACAGTCATAATCTTTTTATTTAGTTTTAACTTTAACGTTCTTTCTTCACTCATGGTTATAAATCAAGAGGAACCCTCTCCAATATAAAGTATAAACTCTCTATAATCAAGATAAATGTGAAATTCAATTCATGAAAAGGAAATCCAATCATAAAAGCCTTTGCAATTTTGTATGCACTTGCCAGCATCATCGCCCTTGGACCATGGTTTCTTTTAAGTTTAAGGTCTCTTTCATTTTACTAGTTTCTAATTTTAAGTTTTTTCAATTAAAAATTCTTAAAAAAATATCACATTTAATTTTTTTTTATATATTTAAAAAAATATCACATCTCAACTCAAATTGAAAACTTAAATCCGCGAACAATTAAAAACTCAAATCCCCTTCGCGAACAAGGCATGTATAATTTTCTTTCAGCAAAGAATGTTTTTTAAATTTCAACTTCTTTTATATATATATATATATAGACACACACACACTTTAGCCCAGTCAAATTAATGAATCCCGTTACGATCCCCATTTTTTCTCTTTCCCCAAGCCTGACTTGTTTTGAAATCAGGATTAGGTACTAGTAAGTCACTAAATTCCAATTCAACCAAAACAAAATTTCCAGTCATAGAAAGACTAATCCATACAAAAGGAAAATCGAAATAATAATTTTATTTATTTTCCTCTTTAAATCTAAAAATAAAAACAAAAAACAAAAACATTATTATTTTCAAAATGGAGAAAAGGAAAATGTCAAAAATCATAGCACCGACCGTTTCGTTCCCAGTCTCCATAGCGAGTGGGCTCGGGCCCTCTGGGCCCACCGACCTCTCCGGTCTGTTCGTTCAGGCTAGTTCCTTCTTCTTCGTCTTCTACACCGTCTTCCTTCTCATTTTCCAGATCTTTTGCTATTGCTTCTCTCTGTTCCTTGTTCATGTTTTCTTGATCGTATTGAGGTTTCTGAGCCGAGGAGCTGACGAGTCGACTCGCTGAGTTGGTGGCGCAGCGAGTCAGCGGCTCCGACCTGGTGGAGGAGAGGATCACCTTTGGGGTCGAAAGATTGGTTATTGATGAAAAGAGACGGCCGAGATTGCTCGCCATGATCGGAATTCCCTCTTTTTTGGTTCTCTCAGACTCCGACGAAAAAGACCAAAAAATGTAAAATTGGGAACCCTAGTTTCAGACTCTCGGTATGGAGAAGAGAGAGAAGAGGGAGGGAGGGAGAGAGAGAGGCCTATGAGTTTGTCCGTATGTTGTCGTGTTGGGACTTGGGCGAATAGAAGGCCACCTGGTATGCGTAGTTTTTATCTTAGTAGTCCAATCTATGGGCCTATAGGAGCCCAATAAGTGGAGTTAAAGGGCTACCTCTATGATTCTGATTTTTTAACATCTTTGAAGGCAGGACGACAAATATTTAACGACATGTAAAGAGCAATGAAACATTGAAACGACCACTACTTACAAGAAACCTGAAAAACGACAATAAGAAAACTACACTTAAATTGAAACGACAAGAAGACAACAGGTGAGTAAACGATAAAAGCTTAAGACCACGGAAAAAGGAACAAGAAAACGACAATTAAAATAGAAACGACAGCAAATAATATAACGAAAAAAATAGAGCAAAACAACGTATATTAACGTAACAATGAGAAACGACGACAAATAGGAATGAAGTTGAATGAATAAACGACAGTAAAAGCTGAAAACGGAAAGTCAAAAACAACATGAGAAGAACCAAACGATACAAAACTAAAAACGAGAATAAAAAATGACAGTAAAAGAGCAACGGCCAAAACGAGTAAATGACAAAAAATTAAAAAAAAATAAAAAAGATGCGTGAACTACAAAAAGGAATAATAAACGACTTCACGACTCAAACGACAAAAACGTAAAAATAATGAGAGAAAAGGAACCATGAAATAAGGAATAAAACAACAAAGAATGAGAAACGACGGTTAAATATGGTAACGACAAAAACAACAAATGAGTCAACAGACGACAATCAATAATATTGCAGAAACGTAAAAATGACAGCAAATGAGAAACAACAAAAATAAAGAACGCGACAACAAGAAAAAGGAAATCAATGGGCTACTAAACAGTCCTTACTGGCAAGATGGGCCCAAGGCCCAACAATAGAACCAGAACGAGTGAGATTTGAGAAAAAGCTTCATTCCTTCTTCCTTCCAGAGAGAGAGAGAGAGAGAGAGAAGAGAGAGAGGAAATGGGTGGAGAAGGTCAAGTTTTGAAGCGAATTCCTCGCATTAAATTCCCGCAGAGACACCCAAAGCCCTCATCTTCAGGTCTCTCTCTCTTTGCATACTCTTTTTTTTTTTGACATCTAGCTCTGTTGTTGCTGGATCTTGGTTTGTTTTTATCATTTCATAGTTTTTGGGCTTTTTTCTTGAATGTCACGTCTTAAGAAGGGATAAATGAAAATCATTTTGGAAATTGAGATATGTTATTTCGCAAAGATATAAAATTGGGTCATTTTGATGTGATTTGTGGAATTCAGACAATAAATTTTCTGTAGTTTTATGGCGTTCACTCTTAGAAGCGTTCCTGGGTTTTCTTATCCTAATTGAAAGAACTATGTTCATCTAAATTTAATGGAATCTCACGCGTGGGATTAATCAATTTGGAATTTTCTGATATCTCTTGGACATTAATGACTACCAAAAATAACTAGAGGAGAAGTTGTTTTGTTCTTTTCCGGCTGATCTTGATGCTAATTTTTATGACTCTGTTTAGTACAGTTGGAAGTTTATAGAAAGGAAAGGGTGAAATCTGGTTATGAAAATTTGATATGGAGGAACACTTACCAGAGTAAATTTAGTGGGTTTATTAATTTATTTAATCCTTGACAAAAAGATAATAAAAGGCAAACTGTTAAGTGAAAGGCATTGAGAAGTTGTGTTCCTCCACACAATTATCTTAGTTATAATGAGTAGTAGATTGTCTTTTCTTATGAGAAAATTATTACCAAGAGTGAGGCAATGAGAAAGAAAAATTATTTTCGTTTAAAGGGATTGCGAATTTGAATGATAGGTACAACTCCAGAAGCTCAACGAGCAACAAGTAAATTCACTTATAAGATGCCAACTCCAAAGTCTGATGTTCCATTGCCACCCCAAAACACTGCTGTGGGAGGGAAAGCTTCTCTTCAGCCAAAACGTACCCCCGTCACCGATAGAGAGATTGAGGCTGTATTGGTAAGAACCAGAACGTATTTTACTCTTCTTTAAAACTTGTGATAAATGTGTCATCCTGGTGAGCTTTGAGAGACAAGTTAATTCAGATGGCCATGAGACATCCATATAACTGGGTTTTTTTTTGCGTAGTATTCGCATACGATTGGTTCTGAAAAATGATACATAGTTCCTCCAACTAGGTTGGAAAAATCTCCAGTTTCATGGCCACTTTTTCCCCATCAAAATAAACAATTGATTCTTGGGATTGACAGAGAATAACTAAAAGCAAAGAAAACTGAAAACTGGTTTGTTTGCAACCTATTAACGCAAATTATTGGTTTCTGTTGGTTTTGCAGTTGGGTGGTTGCTTTGATTAAGTCAGGCTGAGGAGCAGAATGATGTGGAAGAAAAAAAAAATGTTGCTTCTTTTTTTTCCCTGTTTTCTTGGTTTCAGCCAAAGAAAATGTACAAAAAAAGAAGCCATTGTAATATATAATTTAAGTTGTACGAACGATGCAAGGACCCTCTTATCGTTTAGATCCATGGGGACCCTCATGTGAAATAATCTGTTGTTTTGCTCGGCATCGAGAGCACCAATAGGAATGGGTTTTTTTCTTCTTCTTTTTTATTTTATTTTATTAATTGAGGTAAATGCCTGTGTTTAATAAAAATTGCATGAGGTTTATTTGTTCTATTTTGTTATTCTTGTTTGTATGTCACTTTTGTGGATCCTTTTCGAACCTTTTTCAGACAAATTATCTTTTGTAAAACTTAAATTCCATTCGGCAAGCTGAAGACGTAAAAGTTCGAACTTTGAAGTACTCTTAAATTTTTTTTTTTTTTTTTTGGCTAAATCAGTTGCACCATCAATAAAGTACTATTCATTGTAATCGGACAAAAACGGAGCTAAAAGCAGGTCTGTTTAACATAAATAATAACAATAATTGTTTCAAGTGCACATGAATTCTTAGGATTAGAGAGTTATTTGTATGAAATGGCTGTATCAACTAAAAAAAAAAAACAGAGAGAGAGCTATGAACAAAAATTTATAACTTTTACTAAATTTAACCTCAATTATGCAAAGGATTAAGCACAGAACACACTAACCAATAGGCATATAACTTTCAAGCGACGAGAAAACAAATAACAAGAACGAGCAAAGCAAAAACAAAAACGGATCCCATCCCAAAAATAACGATGATAATGACAATAAAGACTTGCTAAGAATAATCTAAAATCTCCGCAAGTAATGAACATACAGGGCAAAAGGCATCGGCAAAATTATAAGTAATCATGCTATGAGGAAAAATATCAGAAATTTCCTATTATGTGATTTATAAGTTGCAGAAAATTTCAATAACAATGTTCCAAAACAATACAAGGGAACAGAACTGTACATTATTCGTCATGAAAACCCCGAAAGGCAAAAGGCTTAACCAAAACAAGATAGCAAAAACTATAGACAAAGATAAATATTCTAAAACCTATAGCCCCACACGAC